CAGGAATATTCTTTTATAAGTGCCAGTGGCAAGATAAAAAATGTACTCTATATAGTCACTGTACTTCTAATGCTGCTTTTTTTGGGGGACATGAGTTCACTTTCCACTGTTAGCCTTCCCTAAGAAGCTTAGCAGCTATCTCTTTTGAGGTATTCCTAGTAAAAGAGAAGTAAGAGCTACCCTTGTGCAATTTGTATCTCAAGAGGCTGCATGAGTCCATGGAATGTCTACACTGAGAGCAGGTTCTCTGCAGTTTATATAAAACATTAAGAAGGAAATTTGGTTGTAGTGGTAAATTCTTCTAGCAAAAAGAGCTGAGTGTATTAAGTCCTCATGTGAAACACGTTAGTGAATAATTTGGCATAGCAAACATGAGGCCAAGGATTAAGCTGTGATTTAAGACTAAGTGATCTCTTTCGGAAATGTGTTGAAGGAAGCATTTGACTTCCTTTTTATTTTGCAGTCCGATGTATGCCTCAACTTTAAGTGAAATAGCATGTTTGTACATCTGTTATCTAGTCAGTGTATAACCAAGGAATCATCAGACGGTGAGCTGTCCCTCATTAAAATACATTTCTGGTATTGTTCTGCATCCAAGCAGGTGTTCAAACATAAGGAAAAGTATTTTTGTAACAATAAAGCAAGTGCATGTTTGGTTAGTTTTACAAGGCAGGTGTCTTTGCCAGATGGTCTGAAGTGGTTTTTCACAAGTAGAGATATACACAGGCCTATATAAAATAGTTACAAACAAACCATTTTTGGTTGAGCTTCAGACCCCCAGGCAGGGACTAGCAGCAGCCTTCTGTCATTTGAAGTGACATTATAAAGCGTCCTATTGTAAAGCACTAGCTCAGCATAACTGCCATGATTTGCAGTAAAATGTTAAACTAATTGGACCCTACAGATGCCTGGAGGTAGATGTCTGGTATTACTCAGTCACATGAACACAGTCCTGGCAGGTAGGGGAATGGCAAGAGCCCCTGTGCATTAGCTGATGCTGACTCCTGTCCTCAGCTTTGTGTGATAGCAGCCTACCTTCTGAAATTGGCCTCAGTTCTGGTTAGAAAAGCCTTAGCCTCTGCTTTTCCTGGAGAGCTTGCAGTAACCTCTGTCCTCCCTGAAGTCTAAGTAAGATGTACCTTTGGATGATGTGTCAGGTACCTTGCAATTAGAATAGCATTTGAGGAAGCAAAACACTACTAGTAAGCAAGTTACGTCCTTTCAAATAGCACTGCAGCAGATCTGCAGAGTAAGAATGTATGACTTGGGCTGGAGGGTGGGAGAGATTAATCCTGAGTTTGGTTAAATAATACCTTTCCCCTGTTTCTGCTTGTCTGCATCATGGCTTTTAGAGGCTTGTTCTGCAGTTGCATGCCAACATGTCGCAACAACTGCACCACCGGTTTTTATGTAGAAGTGTGACATTATGGAATGCCTGTATTATGAGTTGTCTTTCCTGGTGTAAATGTGCTTTTCTCTCTCCCCTTGTCCCCTGCAAGGTGGAAAAGATTCGTCAAGTCAAGGCTAAGTCACTGTACTTGCAAGTTGAGAAGTTACGTCAGAACCTAAATAAGCTGGACAACACCATTAGTGCTG